ACCTCTTTTTACAAGATCTTTAGATCTCACAGGTATCTCACTGCTGGACAGTGAGATACCTGATACTGCTGTTTTTCTGATGAACCAAAAACACATGTCTGCAGCTCTGGAAGCAGTAAAAGCGTTCTCTAGAGCTTCTGGCGTAGATCTGAATATTAACAAGTGTGAACTTAAGGCTGTTAAGGAATATTTCAGTACATCTATTTGTACTATACAAGTTAAAAATGAAGTGAGATACTTGGGAATAATAATTACTAAGGATAAACAAAGAGGAACATTCTTAAATGTGAAATCTGTCTTCCAGAAAACTCAAAGTAGACTAAACCAGTGGCTCCTAGAGATCTCTTCTTAAGGGGAAGAGTTTTGATTACAGCTCTGTCTATCCATGAGGAGAAAAAATCTCTTAAATGTTGCTGAACTGCAGAGCTCCTTCAGTGACAGACTGCTGCATCCTCGATGCATGAAGGAGCGTTTCGCAGGTCCTTCCTCCCTGCAGCTGTCAGACTGTACAATCAGAACTGCTCCCAACAAACAGATGTTTACATCAGCACTGTAACTTGCACTATTTTATCAACCGATTCACACTATAACCAGGGTTTGCCTCTTATCTATATTTAATTTAATTTAATTTAATAATGGTACAGTACTCTGCTTTTGGTAACTGTTGGGTCTGTGTTTCCACAAGCCCCGCTAATTCTAGAGACTTATTCATCATGAAGAAAACAAAACAGTCGATCGATCAATTACTTGCGCAAGGAAGGCCTCGTCTGTGTCCACCACGAAAATGACCCCAAATCTGGCCTCCTCCCGCTGCCTTTTATTGAGAGACAGTTCACACAAAACACATCACAGCAAAGCAACGCCCACATGGTCCTAAGACAAGGCATTGTATGTATATGTGTGAACTTCTGTAAGAATGTGTGTGTGTGTGTTATGTGAGAATGTGTGCGTGCATGTGTGTGTGTAAGAATGTGTGTGTGTGACCTCCTGCTGACCAAAGGGTCGTAAACACAGGAAGCTTACATCAAAAAGCACAAGGATGTGTCTGTAATAAAACACTACAGCCCCCCACCCAGAACCTCGAGAATCTGGGGGGAAGGACAGTGGAATTCCTTTCATCAGAGTTGGCAAGCATAAAAATGACAACATTTAACAATTCACTCTAACAGCAACCATTGTCCTTGATGTAAATATGTAAAAACTGTATGTTTCTGTTCTGTGTCTTGTGTACTGTTTGTTTGTATATGTGTCTTTCTTGCTGCTGTTACACACAAATTTCCCCTTAGGGGGCAATTAAAGGATTATTCTATTCTATTCTGTTCTGTTCTATTCTATTCTATTCTAAATTACACTGACAAGATGCTCTTTACCTTTGTGTGGAGAAATAAGACTCAGTATTTAAGGAAACTTGTTCTTTTGAAGTCAAAGGAGCTTGCAAAGAAACTACGATGACTACGATGACCTGGATGACTGAGAACCTTCACAGACATATTGTTCTCTTGAACACATATGATAAAGGTGGTCTAAACTTTCTGGATTTTAGCACTTTAAACAACACATTTATCATTAATTGGGTAAAAAAAATGTACAAAAATATCTCAACTCCACTTGGAATGTTATTCCTCTCCTTGTGATAATTACACTAGGACCCGGTCCACGGACACAGCTTAACAATTATATAATTTCAGATGTCCGTTATTAATAGTCGAATCTTCAGTCCTGTATTGTGGCTTGCTGAGAATCCATGCTAGCAGGGGTGGGACTTTATTTTGATGGGCATATCATGCGGCCAATCACATGCAAAGACAGACTGGGAACATACCACTATGTAAAAGAAGATAGGGGACAGCCGGGAGCCCAAAACTGATTTCCAATGTTTCCGTATGTTTTTTTATGTGTAATATCCTTACGTATGTTGGTAAATAGACTTCGGTGAACAGGGTTTACAAAGGGGTTATATATAAAATTTAAAAATTACCTGTTTTTCAAGTATCTTTATAGCTCTGCGTTATTATACTTAGATTATAACCAATCCGGTCCTTTTTGTCCACTTAAAATATGTTTACAGAACTATTTTTATATTTGTTGCAATTTCCGCTGTCCTCTTGGACTTTAAAAAAAGACATTTTTAATGTCACGATTTTTTTAATTGGATAAATAAAGGATATATAAAAGTCACTGCCAAATACTGATTGTGGCTTCTACCTTGTTACAGGATTGTTGTTTGTGGCTCAAGATGATGAGGGATACATTTGACATATGTTTCACGTATTATAGACCAACAAGTTATTTATAGCAGTTTAAATACGAGCAATCAGTTTTTGGCAAATACCGGAAATCAGTTTTTGGCAGGCGATCATTTTTGGCACAACACCGGATTTAAATGCAAGCATCTCGGGAAAGAGTAAAGAAACGAAAGAAAACATAAAATGAGCAGCATCTGTCTAAATTTCAGTAATATTGTTATTGGAAACCGCAAAGCTGAGTGCAGACTTTATAAGACTAGGAGCTGGATAAAGTCATACCCGTTTTTCTTTTCAGCTATTTTCCATTGTGCAGGATTCAAATTTGTCCAGGCCTTAAACCTCGTATCTCCCTAGTAGTAGCAAATCCATAAAAATAGTTGGGGGGCTTCTGACAATACAGAATTAAAAATGAGCTTCCTTGAAAAAGACTAAAGTGACAGTTTAGTATTGAATATTACTTAAACTATATACAAAGTGTCTTTGAATGGCAGAGATGCAGAAATGTCTGCATGTAGCACACAGCTATGGCTCAGTGTCTGAGTGTCTAAATGAGTCTCACAGGCCTGAATGTGCACTGCTAAAGATATTTCTTAAGAGTGATAGGTAGCCCATCATGTAAAATGAGTTTGACACCCCTGCTCTGGAGTAATCAGCTTTAAGTCTGGACCCCAGGTTGAACAACTCGAGGGCATTCAGAATGGTTCCAACTCCTTTGTTGTCATGAGGTGCATGTAGCTAAGGAGGTAGAGCAGATCATCTGCTAATTAGAAGGTTTTCTCTTCCTTCAGACAAGGTGAGTCAAGTTAATGCTACAGAGCTCAGCTTTGGTTTAATCTTTGGACAGGGTGCGACAGAAATACCCAGTGCCCTAGTTCAACCATTCACGTTGGCAAAAATACTGTTAATGTAAAATAACACTAAATGATAAAGTTTGTAACAATCCATATACATTTGTTTTTTAGTCGTTTGCAGGTTATCTAATATGTTTTTTTCATAGGACACATTACAGTGTTCAGTAAAAATATTTTAAAAACTGAAATCTTTTGGACTCTAAAGTGCACAAACACTTTTTTAAAACTCAAAACAGAAAGAGAGAAAGAAAGGAAAAAAGCAAGTTTACGGGGTCCTCGGTGCATGATCTGCCTGTCTGTGTGGACTTGGCGCAGTGCAATGGAAACATAGTTGAAAGTGGACCTGATAATGAAGGCTAAACCCTGACTGTCCCTGATGGAGCCCACTGCTATTTCCATCAACGGTGGGACGTGCTGGAGATGGAGTACTAAAATAGGCCACACATACTGTTCAAGCAGCATGTGCAATAACCCTGTTAGCTTATCAAATCAATGGATTCTTCGTATTCTACCTAAACGTGGAAATTACTGGAGCGATCCACCCAAAAAGAGGAGATGAGTAAACCGAGCGTCTGACAAACCTTTTTATCCCCCATAGTGTTGATGTTTTATTCAATCATTCACAGATGACAGTGTTGCCTCACAAACAGGGAACACATAAATAGACTCCATTTCCCATGACCCCCGGCAACCTTATCCTGCCAGGCGGCCCTGTTGTACCCACTGAGATGCAACCTTTTCCCAATAGAAGACAACACTATTGCTGCCGGTGTAGAAGCTGCCCATTTTGTGGGCAACAAATGGATTGTAATGACACCATCAGTACAACAGCACACTGTGTGTGTGTGTGTATGTGTGTGTGTGTGTGTGTGTGTGTAAGGGGGAGTTTCTGTGACCCAGGCCAGGCTCAGGCCCATTAGATGAGCATCAGGTAAATCTGCTAGGCGCTATCATTTCATTTGTGACACAGTAGTTCCTTTTAACTCAGTTTGAAATGCAGTGTCTGATTATAATGTTCCACAGCTCTACTACATCATTTTAGCAAATGCACTATTAGGATCATGAGGCACAACGTGAGCGTATGATAGTGGATGCATGCAAATGTATCTGCAAAGTTTAACAGGAAGCAGTGGCTCCCTGGTAATCCAGAAACAAATTAAAAACCCTTTTCCTCACATAGAAGGTCTTGAATAATCAGGCCCCATCTTATATTCCTCAGACCTCACAGTACCATATCACCCGAGTACAGCACTATGCTGTCAGACAGCTTACTTTTGGTTCCCTGGATATTTAATAGTAGAATCAATCACTTTTATAGAGCAAAAAATATAAAAATAAAATTCTAAATTGTCTTTCTCTCTCTCACACACACAAAACTGTGCCATTTGTACTAGAAAATAGGATCTATCAGTAATGAACAATATCTATTGCACAATACCAGCTTTTGACTTCTACATTAGCCATCAACCACAGTCTGAGATGAAGACAATGGAATAATTGATCACATGTTATACTATAATCTCACACCAGCATGCAGAGAGGAGGTGCAACAGCTAATGGACCGGTGTAGAGTAAACAACCTGTGCCTGAATGTGGACAAAACAAAAGATTTCAGGAGAGCACGGAGAGATCACTGTCCACATAACATTGATGGAGCATCTGTGGAGGCTGTCAAGAGCACCAAATTCCTTGGTGTCCACCTGGCGGAGAACTTCTCCTGGTCCCTCAACACCAGCTCCATAACTAAGAAGGTCCAACCACCTTCAGCAGAGGGACTATCTAAGCATCCTGAGCAGCTGGATCACTGTCTGCTATAGTAACTGCACTGTATCGGATCACAATACCCTACAACGGATAGTGAGAATAGCTGAGAAGATTATTGGAGCCTCTCTTCCCTCCATTATAGACACCTATTACACCCACTGCATCCACAAAGCCACCAGCATTGTGGAGGACCCCACGCACCCCTCACATACACTCTTCACCCTGCTGCCTTCTGGCAAGAGGTACCAGAGCATCCGGGCTGTCACTGCCAGACTGCCGAACAGTTTCTTCCCCCAGGCCGTCAGACTCCTGAACACTGAGTAAGTTACTTTTTGTACAATGCTCAGTTTCTACTGTTGTGTCTATATCGTTCTGCTGTCTGGTGTTGCACTCTTCTTGGTGTTTTGTTTATTTGCAATTTTTGCACATTGAACTTTGTAAAGTCCTGTGTTGATTGTCTGTTATATGTCATATGTAGCACCATGATCTCGTTTCACTGTGTACTGTACCACTGCACATGGTTGGAATGACAATGAAGCCACTTGACTTGACTTGCTTAGGGAGGGGCAGCGACTGGGTGGCGTGAGGGGGGGGGAGACTGGATGAAGATGTGCTCTGGAAGCCAGAAGTTATAATAACTAATAATTAAATGCAGAGAGGTGTATAAATACCAACAACAAATAGTAAGCAGGTCTCATAGGCACAGCCTATGGGCCTACTTCTAGCCAACTAGAAGTAGAGGACCACAGTCCCAACAGCTGAGTGATTAAGGTAAAATTAACGTGGTAAAAGAGTAAAATGAATGCCTATGTGACCATCAACTATGGCTAATAGTGTGGCTTTTAAAAGAAAAGGCAGCTAGGATACTTGTAATCATTTAACTTTACACTTAAATTGTCAATAGTTTCAAATTTAAGGTTGTGGGGTATGGTAATGAAATGGCCAGGTTTATATCTGCTAAATAAGGATCTTTCCTGATGCTCACTATAATTTTTTGAAGGAAAAAATAAATAAATCAGAAAAGGTCTGTTCTTCAGCATTAAAGTGACAATGGTCAATTTTTCTACTACTGCACAGCAACTGTTGATAATTGGGGAACTTCATTCTAAACACTGCTTATGTGTGGCCAATTGCATTGTGAGTTCTCTTCCTTTGGGCTCTGCCCTCCAGTCACTTGATTCAGAGAGTGAGTGCATGAAACTGCAGCAGTGCTTGCACAGCATATTGAATGGTTTGTGTGCATTGCTGCAGAGTTCTGCAAGGGTAGGTTGTTGATTGCATGAGTAACAACAAATGTGGCCATCAAATGAAGTTATTTGCTCAGATTATATCTTTTCCTCCCTTTGTACCCAAATATAATTCCATAGCATTTTTGGTGGGAGAAACATCCCTCTCAACTTTTTCAGCCTGAAGGTGGAGTAAGACCTCCCTCTGGTGGTACTCTAAAATACAGGCCCACCAAGAACACCTTGAACAGTGAACAAAGACTAGTCAGTCATCTCTAATTAAAATGTACTGATCTTCCAGTGAGTGTATTACACTATGCAAACAATTGACAGAAATCTGGTTCTCCATGCTGATGACCTCAGGCAACTCAAACTAGCAGCATATGATGCATCACAACTACACCACCTTAAACCACTGCAAATTTCAGTGCAATATACAGAACCTTCCCAGTTATAGCAGTAACGCTCATTTAAAATTGATATTCTCGCACAGAGCAGATGCACTGTGATAGATGTTGTATAACCTTAAAAACAAACGCTTGAATTCAAAGCAGAAACAGACAACAGGTGTTTTCCAGGAAATATTTAATTAGAATTTCCAAATATTCTAAGGACAGGAACTGATAAAACCAGACTGATGTTTCTACAGAGAAAAATTATGTCAGACCCTTGATCAGCCAAAAGTGACGGCTCCATCTTCTCGCCCGTTTTGCTTTTAAATATACATGAGAAGTAGCACCCCTGGGCCCTGAAGAGCAGCAGGAGCTGAGGACATAAATACAGTGGCTGCTGTGTGCTGTAGGGATTTGGGGGTTTAAATGTGTTGCTTCTGGAGAATGCAGCTCAGTGACAAGATGTTACTCTGTAAGACCAAGCTTCTTCTTCAGGGACTCGGGCATCTCAGGTGGAGGGGGGCGTGGCAGGCGGAAGTACACCTTCACAGAATCGTAGATGAACCACTGCAGGGCTGTCAGAGTACCAATCATGATAATACGGGCAATAAGACCCTTCCACACACCTGAAAGAGACAACAGTCCATTATTCCTCACCTCACAAAACAGTGGTTCAGGTCAATCAAGTCCTACTTCAGTAGACACAAAAGCTACTTTGCTATCCACTGAACACAAAAATGTGCTAGACACAAACTCATCATTCAACCCTACTTGAATGTAAATCAAGTACAGGAGGTGAGCAGTGTAAAAGTGAATTGTTCACAAAGTTGCACCCCTGAACCCCTGAGACACAACCGAGGCCTGATTGCAGGTATGCCATGACTCAAACTCCTCCCACAACATAGGAGCTGCTGAGAAGCTCTGCTCCTCCAGCAGTGGATGGTCCTAAACCTCGTTTCATATCACTGCTGCTGAAACAACTGAAATAATGTTGGTACAAACCTTTGGGTCCCAGCCTCTTGAGGACCTGCATAGCAGTGCTGCCCTTCTCTTTGTTCAGCACAGACACGACCGAGTCAGCAGGGTGGGACACGATGGCACAGAACACACCAGCTGCACACAAAGCAAAGAGACATTAGAAACCTCAACCTTGATTTTCTAGCCTTAAACAGCAAAAATGATTGGAGTTTACTGTGCATGCTACAACTAAAGGTCTAATAGTTGCTCAAAATACATGGCAGCATTTAATCAACATCAGCAGGGAAACATCCCCAAACTCACCAATGTAACCAGCCGTAAAGGTCACGACCAGCTGCTCAGGTTTGCTGCACTCACTGCGGGGCTTAGGAACAACATACTTGTAGAGCAGCTCCACAGTTCGCTCAAAGCAGGCAAACTTCATCATGGTGTAGGGGATCTGCCTCATCCACAAGGGAGCCACTCCCTTATAGAAACTGGGATTACAGGCAAAAACAAGGAATGAGCTCAGAGACACTTGGCACTAGAACTTCATATAGAGATAAATATCCCCTAATTTTAAAGTAAGTTTTAGGCTCAGGTACCTGTGTAGCTTACACATTTTGCTGGTTAAATGTAAAAAAAATAAATAAAAAAATCAAATCAAATCACTCCAAACTGTCTTCCAGCTCTATGCAGAGACTATGTCGAATGTGTCCGTCCCCCAGGCTCGCTGCACTGGGAGATCCCTGCCCAGTGACAGGGTTGCCAGTGCAGCAGACGGGCTGGGGGACAGGTAGACTGTTCTCACACGCCAATGACTCAAGCACCTCCAACTGTACAGCCAGAAAGCTGCTGAGGAGCTCTGCTCAGAGAACAGCGCCCTCCAGAGGTGGATCTAAGGAGCGTGTTAGCATCACAAACTTGTTCTCTGTTTAATTATTCAATCCAGTGCTACCACACGTTATGGAACAAACTTACGCCCAGAGGCCCTCCTCTGCATACATCTTGGGGGCACACTCTCTGAGGGTGTTAGCATAGCCTGGCTGGGTCTGGATACGGACTTTGGCAGCCTCCATTGGAGCCAGAGCGATGTCAGCGAAGAACTCTGCGCTAGCTGAGGCAGCCAGGTACAGGGAGGTTCTCCACAGGTACGTATTCTCCTGTTGGTCACACAGTGGGAGAAAATAAGAGTAGTCCCAAGCAAGTCACACACAGCCTACACTCCATTTGCACACATGAAAAAGGCAGTTCAGATTTCTCCAAAATAATGTGACAACTCAGAGCAGCTTCATGGTCAATAAACGCTCAAAGGACTCCTTTAAACTCATCCCATCTTTCTTCTATAGACCAGAAACACGACTCATGCCCACCCTGCTTTGGCAGGAATTCCCAGTCAAGCGTCCAAAAGTTCCACTCACCTCTCCTAGCAGGTCACTGTAGAGGATCTTGAACACTTCATAGAAACCAAACTTGCAGAGTCCCTGCATGGAGTAGCCAATGAAGGTAGGAGCCCAGCCCTTTGCCAGACCTCTGACACCATCTTCTCTCAGCGTTACTGCAAATCCATTGCCAATGCTCTTGTATTTATCAGGATTCACCTAAGGAACAGAAACACTGGCATGATCACCATATCAGCTCTGAACACAGGGGTTTTAGGGGTAGTGTTGTCTGCAGGTAACCAGCACCAAAAGGCTGACACTAAGAACATACTTGGACTGGAGACGTCTGTTTTCATGTCAGGTTACTGTTAATAACACTTATAATAATGCTGTGTGAGGGCAAATAGAGTCATTTACTGTTAATTAAACTTGTCCATTTCTGCTTTGCTTGGTTTAACAAGCTCTTGTACACTCAGGATCCACATTCTCAAGAAGCAAACAGTTGTCTTTGTTTGTTCAAAGTCACTTCAACTCAATGACTGATATTTATTTTAAAATATACAATAATTTGTAGGCTCTTTGCTAACATACTCATTAGTTGAAGGTTTGAGAGGCTGGCGTAGATGCTGGCTACTGGGAGGTTCAGCTTCCATACAAACCTGCAGACGGCACTTGACAAGGTCGAGGGGCACCACTGCTGTGTGTGTTAGGCCGCAACTCAGGATACCCCCAAAGCCACACAGAGCATAGTACTTTGAGGAGCCAAACTCGCAGCTGACTTCCTCTGTGGTAGAAGGGAGGGGACAAAGACATGCAGCATGCAAGGTCACATGCAACAGGACAAAAATCAACAAACACAGGGCCAAGTAATGGAAGGAGTCACCACTGAAACACCAAATAAGTGTGTTTTGCTCCAGGTCGCAACTGTGTCAATTCAGTGCCAACACCCTTCCATTATGGATGCCTCTGTCACCAACATGCCACCAATCATTAGAACAGTATGATCAAATCACTGTACAAATTCAGTATGAGCGGTCAGGGACCACAGTAATGTTTTGCAGTTAGGCAGTTCTCTCTCCTCGTTTACCAGCTCCTGCTTTTCTTAACACACTTCAAACCTCCAACAGATCGTCAATATGTCAGTAAGTCTAAAACAAATGCAAAACATTAGCAGGATCCCCAACTGATTAAAAACATGGTCTGATTAAACTGAAATAAAACAATATTCATTTCATTGGAATGATTACACACAGCAGAGAAACTGTCGTATCAAACGTACGGCTGTCTTTGCAGTGCTGTTAATGAACAGTCAGTGTGTTGCCTAAGCCAAACTCAGCTGTGTGTAATAAAACTCAAAAGAGAAACTGTTCTCCCTCAGGTCGGTCCTTCTGACCTTCAGACACTGGTCCTCTTCAGTGGGTGGCATTCATTTAACAATAACGTGAAAAATCATGCAGGTATGTTATGATCACTCCAACATGTCAGATTAATGGGAACTAATGGCAAAAACAGATTCACCACAACTATGCTGGTGACATTTCTCCCATGGAAAGGTGCATAAATTTTTTTTTTAAAAGGACAAACAGAATTATGGGTAAGTGGGTAAGTGGGCCAAAGACGATGGCAGCAAGCCGCAGCGACAGACCTGCATTCGGCATTTAACCAGATCGAGGGGAACGACAGCTGTGTGTGTAGTGCCACAGCTCAGAATCCCACCAAAGCCACACAGGATGAAATACTTCTGTGAGCCGAACTCACAACTGTCTCCCTCTGAAGAAACACAGGACAGACTTTAAGAACAGGGCAATATGAACTCAGCATGACTGAGTCTGGAGCAGTGAGCTTATGGAAAATTTGTCATCCATTTTTCTCTTACCCAAAGAGCTTTTTACTGCCCATATCATTTAACTAGGAAATTAGATATTTTGTCTTCCAAACTTAAACCAACACTAACAAACTTAAAAATTGCTGTTTCTGTTTCAAAAACAAATGATCCAAGCTTGGTGTCAAATGGCTGGGTCTAGACTTGAGCAGGGAAGGAAGTTCAAATCTTGTACTGAAACTTGGTTCTCTGAAAACCTGTTTGCAGACTGCAAGGCCCCAGATAAGAACACTGTTGTACTGTGTACCACAGCCATTGCGCCATCTGCCTTCAAAGGTGACCCCTGAGCAGCTCAGAGTCAGGGTCACATTCATTTTTGTTATAATTAGCGTTCAGAAAATCCTTAAAGTGTGTCAAACAGCGCATTGCTGTGCAAAGGCTGAGCGCTGCTGTGTCCTTCCGTGTCCTCCACGGGCGGCCTGTATGCAGGGCAGGCCCGATTGCTCCAACATCATCATCCAACAGTCCTCAGGACCACCTAACCCGTACATAAAACAAATCGAGTACACGTGCCTGCTCAAATAGTAAGTCCAACTACATATAATGTGCGAAAGTAGTTAGCCGCAACCGGGTACATCTGCTCAGCTAAGCTAACGCTAGCCTTGCAGCGACCTTTCGGAGTCTCGGCCGGCTTTACCGTCTACGGTGGCAGCTGCTGCCAATCGTCGGCTCCTCTGGCCCTTATGGCTCTGGAGGGGTTCTTCCACTTTCTGCAGGGTGAAGAGGGGGGCGCTGAACGGGTTGGCCCGGGCGATCTGCGTCAGTGTAGTGGGATACATGGTGGCGTCCTGCCGGCGGAGCTGCAATGAGAGACAAGGTTAGCGTGAGCTGAGCTAACTGCTAACACAACCAACCCACTCGCGAGAGTGGGTCACGTGCTGCTCAGCTTAGTTTGACTGTCAGCAGGAAAATCTTGGCTTAATGACCTCAACGCAAATACCTAAACTACAACAGTTATCTAACGTTAATAAAAGTCGCCGAAAGGTTACCAACCAGCTGTACATGAGCTCAAAATGCACGGCAGGCTAGCATTACACCGGCTTTAACGACACGGTAAAATGCTATGCTACATCAAGCTAACGCGACCGAAAGGTGGAGTGTCTGCGCTTCACATTAGAGATAGAAATAAAATAAACCCGCCTTTCAACATGAATCGCGGTTTGACAGTTACACGTCCATAACAAACTAATCGCCATTAATTCTTTCCTCTGTTCTCTCTGAAGAAGAAAAGCACGACTCACTTTCAGTGTCCTAAGATGGCGCCTCCGCTTCACTGTAACCGGCTGCTCGAAGAGGCCGAATGACCTCGCGCTAAAATGATTTGTCCTTTCGTGACGTCACCAATAGTGGGAGGTGGGGCACAACAAGTAAGTCTTCAGTCGTCACCAAGGCGGTTCTTGTCGAGAGGTAAGAGTGGGTAGTTGAAACACACTGGACTGTCATATTATATTCAACATTCAGGTGTTTGTGTTCTATAGAGTGACTTCTAATTAGAACTGTGAGAGGAACACCTCTCATAGTTTTAATTAGTTCTCAAAGGTCCGGCTGGGTAATGCTTTGCTCTAAAGGTGTGATGAAGCCCCTTTGGAAGTACTGACATCTGCTGGTCATTCGATGTACAGCAGCCCTGCTGTGATAATACATGTGGGCTACAAACACAGTGGATATGTTCACGTAATTATGTATCAGTTGCACAATACTCATGAAGTCCTGTATAATTAAAAAAA